GTCCAGCATTAAAAGTCGCTATAATAATGAGAGTGATGATAGCGCCTACGTCATTATGCCTTTGATGAAATTGGAGAAAAAGGTACTGGATCTCGCACGTGATCGATGGTACTTGGATTCTGGAGCTACCAGTCATACGACGAACCAAAATGTTGGTTTCGTGTCATTTACCCCGATCAAATCAATGGTACGGACAGGTGGAGAAAATTGACTAGAAGTTGTTGGCATTGGTGATGTGAAATTGGATTTGTTCACTCCAACGGGAAGATATTGTGTGTTGTTGCGTGGAGTGCGGTATGTTCCTGAGTTACAATGCAGTTTGTTCTCTGTAGGAAGGCAGGCTTCTCGTTCTCTAGCACCTGCAGAACGAATTCGATGTCACATTGACGAAGAGGAATATGCAGATGCGATACTACACACGCAAAATGTGAAGGCGTATAAGGATGAAACAGGGCTCTATCGTCTGCAGCTGAAGAGTTCAGGAGAAACTGCCATGGTGGTTGCTGAAGCAGTACAGAATGTGGAGTTATGGCATAATCGATTTGGACATCCAGGGCGAAATGCGTTCAACGCATTGTTTAGCCATGCCCGCTGGCCATTGACGAAACTTGATCTGCGTCAAAACGATGAGTTTCAGTGTGAAACTTGTGTGAAAGGAAAGCTGAGCAGGAAAAGCTTTCGAGTGCGTGCAAATACACCGCCTCGTGAGTGGCTAGTCGGTGAATGCACTCATTCAGACATCTGGGGGCCTTATGCAGTGGACTAATACTCTGGAAAACGCTACTTTGTCCTATTCATTGACGAAGCAAGTCGTTTTGTGACGTTGTTTGTGCTTGCAGAGAGGTCGGAGATCTACGAGAAGTTCGAGTTGTACTATGAATTTGTGAAAACGCAACTCAATGTCCGCATGAAAGAATTTCGAATGGATAATGCTCTGGAGTATGTGAAGCTAAGTGGCATTTGCAAGAAGAAGTATGGGATGACGTGCACACCGTCGATTAAGCACACACCAGAGCAGAACGGTGTTGCTGAAAGAATGGTGAGAACCATAACTGAACGAATGCGATGTCTGTTGAACCACTTTAAGCTACCCCAAGAATTGTGGGCAGAGGCAGCAGTAACGGCAGCTTATTGTGTGAACATAATGCCAAATTCAACAAGAGACATGGAAATACCTCACGCGATATGGT